ATAACATGCCAGCCTCTCTCACACTTATTGCAGTTGCTATCCTATTTACTGAATTTTTGGGGTATGAGTGCATGGTAATATCTTTGCTACCTTCCCCAGACTATTTCCCAGTTCACATGTGGGTGGCTCTTCCCTTCCTCCCGTGTGTCAGGTATTTAGGATGCTCAATACCCCTCCCACCTCTTTGGCACTCAGCAGCATCCACTCCCGCAAACTCATGCTCCCAGCCAGGGCTCCTCCAGGCAAAGCCCTAGCACTCCCACCTTTATCAAAATCCTCATTACTTCCATGAGACATATCTCAAAAAAGAAGGAAACGAGCCAGTTCACACTAAGTGGGGAATTCTCCACTTAGTATGAACTGGCTCGTTTCCTTCTTTTTTGAGTTGTGCCTTGTGGATGAGATACTTGGATTTTAATAGAGGCAATTATTAACACTGAGACAGGCAGCTCAAGAAAATGGGAGGGTGTATTTGGGAGCATGTCCTTCCCAGAAACTGCCTTGTCCACCTACATCAGACAGATGAATGCTTCCAAGTTTGGAGCGAATATGGGAATTTTATCTTTGTTGTCCATTTCTTCTTCAAAGACTAGACATCCCTTCACAACTGCCACTTCTTCTCATTTTTTTCAGCAACAGCTACATACCAGGGAGGCAGCAAAATCTGGGAACTCTGTAAGGCCATACAGTATTGTTAGTCCTTGTCCCTAAGGTGAAGTAGCATCTCATGGGGTATATTGTGTTGGGGGTCCCCAAGACCACTCTCAGGTGCAACGATTCACTAGAAAGGCTCAGAGAACTCAGAAAACGTGTTATAATTATGGTTATGGTTCAGTACAGAAAAGGATACAGATTAAAATGAGCAAAGGGAAAAGGTTCAAAGAGCAGAGTTCAGGAGAAACCAAGTTTCCAGTTGTTCTTTGCCAGTGGAGTCACATGGTCAGTGCTTAATTCTCTCAGTAACAATGAGTGACAACATGCAGATAGTATTGCCAACCGTGGAAGCTCACTCGAACCTTGGTTCAACCAGTTGCCTTCGAGTCATTTCCAACTCATGGAGACTCCATGTGAATCAGCGTAGAACTGTGCTCCATTGGACTGTCAGTGGCTGATTTTTGGAATGTGCAGGGTTTAACTACCCCCAGCTCATTTAGTTCACCCTTTACTGCACATTGTTGCAATAACCTGAACACAGTGCACTGGGAAGAAGCCTACTTTCAGGACATTTATTTCATGATCCATGGTGTGGTAAAATATATTAATTAGGTTAAGATGTAAGTGTATATAAGCAAAGTTTTTCTAAAAACTTTCTTACAGGCATTGACGAATGTCATTGCAGCCACATTTTTAATATAAATAAAATGCGAACATAAACACATCTGGAAGAAAAACATTTGCAACGTGGGAGAATTTTCTTTTACATTTACCTAAAATGACTTGAGAGTTGCTTTTTGGTAAGCAGCCTTCCCCCAAAAGGAAGAAAATTCGGTGACAGGTTATTAGCACTATAGAATAGTTATAGTAAATGTCTCTTCTAAGAAAACATTTTATGTCAAAGAGAAGCATATTTCTAGAATAAATTGTTTTCTTCTTTGGATTTGAAAGGCACTGATGAGACCCAGGAGTCCCTGGGTGGAGCAAATGGTTAATGCCCTTTGCTGCTAACCCTAACATTGGAGGTTTGAGCCCATGAGAGGAGCCTCAGAAGAAGGCCTGACGTCCTACTCCCAAAAAACCAGCCATCAAAAACCCTATGGAGCACAGTTCTACTCTGACACACATGAGGTTGCCATGAATCAGAACTGACGACCGCTGGTGTGTGTGTGTGTATGTGTGTGTGTGTAATGAGGCCTACAGTTTTGAATATTTTTATTGCCCATCCCAGTGGGAGGCAGCCTTCAGTTTATAAAAAGGTCATAAACTGAGTTTATTAAAAGGTCACACTGTTGGAATTCTACTCCTTCTACTCTATCAAATCAATCATCAATCAATTAATAAATATACAATTTTAAAGTATATTCTCCCCTGAAAAGGCCCAAGTTGCCATAGCATAGTAGCTAAGGGTGTCAGCTCTAAAATCTGAGCCTGCATCCTGAGTTGGAATCCTTACTCCTTACCTTACGGTCACATAACTTTAGTTAAATTACTCTACATTCTCTCCTCAATTTCCCCTTCTGTAAAATAGGAACAATGAAATCTATTTCAAAGGGCTTATTTCAAGAATTAAAAGAAATAACACATGTAAAATGGTGACAATGCCTGGCACTATAAAGTAAGCTGTTCATTAATATTAACCTTTACTGACCTACTATTGTGATTATTGAGTCACCAGACACATCTCTGGTTTAGAAGTAGCTTGGCTTCATGGTTAAGGGCATAAACAGTAGCACCAACTTCCTGGATTTGAATCTTGGCTTTGCCTCTCACTGGTTTGGAGATGTCATTTAACCTCTCTCTGTGCCTGAGTTTCTTTATCTATAAAAGAGTACAGGTTATAGTGAAGATTAAATATTTGCAAAGTATTTAGAAAAGCCATAATCTGCCAGTAGATTGCTGTTGTTAGTTGTTGGTGAGTCCATTCCAACCCATGGCGACCCCATGTGTTTCAGATTAGAACTGTGCTCCATAGGGCTTTCAAGTCTGTGACCTTTTAGAAGCAGATCATCAGGCCTGTCTTCAGAGACATCTCTGAGGGGGTTTGAACAACCAACCTTTGGGCTAGTAGTTGAGTGCTTAACTGTTTGCACCACCCAAGGAGTCCTGCCTATAGATTGTTGTTGTCGTGTGCCATCAAGTGTGACTCATAGGAACTTCATCGGACAGAGAAGAACCGCCCCATAGGGTTTCTTAGGCTGTAATCTTTGTGAGAGCAGATGACCAGGCCTTTTCTCCCACAGAGCCGCTGGGTGGATTCAGACCACCAATCTTTCAGTTAGCAGCTGAGCACTTAACCGTTGTGTTATCAGGACCCCTTGCCAATAGATTACTGTCTCCTAAACAAACTAAATTAGTATAGCAGAGTGATGGATAACATGGGTGTTAGAATCAGACAGACAGGCGTTCAAACCCTGGCCTGAAACTAATTAGCTTAGTGGCCTTGGACCAGTCTCTTAAATTCCCTGAGCTTCAGTTCTCTCATCTGTAAAATGAGTTATATCTGTCTTGAATTGATATTATCAAAATACTTTCAAGCTTTAGCAATCCCCATCACCACCAATCTAACTTCTATAAATGACAATCATATGAGTAAAGTGATTTATCTCAGACCTACATCTTAACTACTTGGGATTGTACAGCATTCGCATACAAAAAAGATGCATTTTATTTTAAGGCATGACATAATTTTAATTTCTCAGCCAACCGTAAACAACATTTATGTGCCAGGAAATATGTTAGCCACTAAAAGTTCAAGTTGAGCCATTTCTGCCTTCTAAGAAACATATGTTCTTATGGAGACGCAGCTATGAAAACAAGTGATTCTAAATAGCAAGATAAATGCAGTGAGAGAGACTGCACGGGATAAGGATGCAAAGCAGAAGTGTGCTCTGGCCTCAAAGACGGAAAAAATGAAAAATGTGTTAACCCCTATCCTCTCTTTCCACTCCCACCAAGAGATGCCATGTAAATGTTGAATGAATCAACTAATTTTGGGAAAAAAAATAATCCATTGCTCTCTAGTCAATTCCAACTCATAGCGACCCTATAGGACAGAGTAGTACTGCCCCATAGGGTTCCCAGGGCTGTCAAGTTGATTCCAACTCATAGCAACCCTATAGGAGAGCAGTACCGCTCCATAGGGTTTCCAAGGCTATCAAGTCGATTCCAACTCATAGTGACCCTATAGGACAGAGTAGTACTGCCCCATAGGGTTTCCAAGACTGTAATCTTTACGGGAGCAGACTACCACATCTTTCTCCCTCATGGTGTCTGGTGGGTTTAAGCCGCCGACCCTTCAGTTAGTAGCCAAGCTCTTAACCACTGCACCAGCAGGGCACAGAAAACCACGTGATAATCTATCGTCATTCTATGACCTGGATTCCCGTGTTAGCACTATCAATTATTGGCTGTATGTATGACCCTACACATATCGATATTGGGTCTGGAGGTCAGTGTCTCCATACAATAAACAGGTTTACCTATTTGTGCCGTTGCTTTGGGGAAGAGGGTTGCCGAGAATTTCAAATGAATGCATTGAAGCTGCAGTGGGAACCCTCAAGTAAAATGGGAGGGTGTTACCAGATTTCATCCCCAAAACAAACCACAGAGAAGTATATTTTATAAAATGCTGAAAATATCATGTCAACTTTTGCCAATGAGGGAAATTCAATGAAGAGAGGAAGAATGAGCTGCCCAGCCCCCAAAAGAAACCACCATTTTCAGTCTCTACCAGGAAGGTAAGTGCTGTCAAAAGCAGGCAAATTGAGAGCAAGTTACACGTCTGTTCTTTAAAGAGTTCCCCAAGCCTCCTGTTGAATTTGATTCCACAGCTACCACCTTCTTGACCCTAGAGAATGGAAGCGGCCAACCCAAGTATCCTTATCTGCAAATCACCTGTTAGTTTTGCTGGCGATCGTGTTTTTCTACCAAATGCAACTAAGTGAGTAGGTAGATAAATACTGAGAAACAAAATCTGCTTTGGAAATATTGAGCTTTAGTAGCTTCTAACTCAATGTAATCGATCTTAACACAGTGCTCAGCCTACAGACATTCCAACAATAGCTATTCCCCGAATCAAGTCTTTGTGGCTGACCTGAGTTGCTTTTATTTATTTATTTTTAAGAACTCAAAACAAAGTATAGCTATTATTCCAGTTTACTCTGGAGTGGGACGTATTATTCCGGGGAGAAACAGCTATTGGAGAGTGAACACTGCTCAGCCGGAGAATAGACAGCCATTTAGATCAGACAAACGTGAGCTGAGCAAGCAGGGTGTGAGATTAAGCAGGGAAAGAAGGTAAGCGAAGGTGGAATTGAAGGTGCGGTGTGTGTTTTCCTCCGCAGACTGAAGCAGCTCTGATGTACGATGCTGTCTACATGATGGCCATCGCCTCCCACCGGGCCTCCCAGCTGACCGTCAGCTCCCTGCAGTGCCACCGACACAAGCCTTGGCGCCTTGGGCCCAGATTTATGAACCTGATCAAAGAGGCAAGTGCTGCTCCTCACTTCGGCTTAGCACTGTTTGCGTCGTCCATCTGGTGTGGTGCTTCCCGCTTGGTTCTGCGGGCGTGAAGTCTGTAGGGAGGGGAAGCTGGGACTTGGGTGGTAAAAGTTGGTCTAGAAGAACTGCCAGGAATGTTCCAGCGTGATGTTGGGAAGTTCAAAGAAGCTGGTTGTTTGTTGCCATCGAGTTGGCGCTGACTCATGACGAGCTTGTGTGTAACAGAACAAAACGTTACCTGCGCCAACTTCATGATGGTGGCTGTGTTTGAGGCCACTGTTGCAGCTATTTCGTCAATCCATCTCATTGAGGGTTTCCCTTATTTTTGCTGACCTTCTGATTTACCACACATGATGCCCTTTTCTAGTGATTACTCTTTCCTGATAACGTCGGTATGGCAAACTGACAAATGGGTGGTGGTCAAAGAAGCTACCATATTGTCACCCTAATCATCTTTCATTTCGACTATGGGCCCAGCTAGTTCTGACCCTCCACGCACGTACAGGGGAGCTCGTGGGTGCTCATTCCATGGTGCGTGGGGTCAAGGGGAGGGTTTGTCCATCACTGAAGGGAACCAGAGACATCTCCCATATGTCAGCCCACCATCCCAAGGGCTCCTAAGGCTTGGGTTGTACATGGCTGAATGGCTGGATGTCTTCATCTTAATGATATAGTGACTATTTTGCCATTTGTCAGTTAACTTGAAAAGTCTAGTCCCATTCAAATCCTACCCAGTGTGCTGAAGGATTTTGAAGAGTATAGGGTTTCTCACTGTCCCCTGGGATCCCAGACTATCTCCCAACCTTCCCTCTTCTCTGAAGCAATTTGACTCACCTTCACCTGACTCTTCTAGGATCTCAAGACTGCTTGTCTTAGTTTCCTAGTGCTGCTATAACAGAAAGATCCAAAGTGGTGGCTCTAAAGAACAGACATTTATTTTCTCACAGTTCTGCAGCCTAAAAGTCCAAATCAGGGCACTTCCTTGAGGGAAGCCCCGGGTTTTCTTGGTTCCTTGGTGATCTTCACAGGGCATCTGTCTTCCCCCGTGTCTGTGTGTGTACCTGTGGCTATACTCTTCTTTTTATAACCCAGAAGGGATTAGCTTTAGGATTCACCCTACACTCATACATTATATTACATGCACAAGTACAGGTGTTAGGATTCCAAAACATATTTGGAGGGGCGGGGCATGATTCAATTTATAACACTCCTGATGGATACGTATCCTTGAACTACCTTTGTCTCCAACCCACACCTCAGGGTGTGTCTGGACTTTCTCAGGGGCAGCCAGGCCTAAGTATCCACCTTATTTGTGATGCTGCTCGAATATTTTCTCTATAGGGTACTGAAATTTACCTCTTAGGTGAAGAGCTTCTTTTTCTTTCCCCTCTCTCTGTACCTCAGAAGGTTGGGGTGAGACAAAGAGAGGAATGGGAGGGAGCATGGCACAAAAGAAGAACGCCCAGCAGAGAGGGGCGTAAATCCCATGGAAAGATGCTTGCTTTTGGCCCTGTTTCCTCGGGTCTCTTTAGCACCGGCAGACCCTCTCTCAACTCTGCACTTCACTTCCCTACTGAAGGCCTACTCTGACCCATAAAGATGAGGCTTAGAGAGGCAGGATGTATAGGGGATAAATATCCTGGCTCCAAAGCAAGGCTGCTTGCAGCTTGCAAGTCTGGGACTAGAGAGTGACAAACAGCAAAAGAAATGCCTAGGCTCATGATTTAAGGAGGCACTCACTTTCAGGTGTGAACCTGCATTTGCATGAATCTGAGAGTGAGTGCTTTCTTAAATTGTGTTCCCGGGGCAACGCTTTTATGTCTGCCTAGTCCTGGCCCTGGCTGCTCTGGCTTAAATTCCAGCTCTGCTAACATTTAAAACAAAAAACAAGCCTGTTGCCGTTGAGTTGATTCTGACTCACAGTGACCTTACAAGACAGAGTAGAACTGCCCCATTGGGTTTCCAAGGATCACCTGGTGGATTCAAACTGCCAACCTTTTGATTAGCAGCCATAGCTGTTAACCACTACATCACCAGGGTTTCCTGCTAACATTCAGGGGCCATATAACCTGGGAAAGTCTCAGTCTTCTCACCTGTAAAATGGGGATCATAACCGCATCTACCTCATAGCATTGTTGTGATGATAAAGAGCAAGGTTAACAGATGTGGAGCACAATGCCAGCCCACAGTAACAACTCTGAAATGATGGTGCTCTTTCTATCATTGGAATGGACCTCTAATATCAGCCTCAGTCAGTCTGCTGAGGAGGGTGCCAGAGACTTAAAGCTGGCAACAACAACAAAGAAATCACAAATAGGCATGAAATGAAATACCCTTTCTGACATATTGTGCCTAACAGAAAAACATCACACAGTCCCCTTGTGTCCCCACAGCATCATGGTGATGTCCTGAATCGTCATCCTGATTACCTCGATCTTTAATAAGGAAACAGCTGGTTTCGTTTTATCTCATACCAGTGCAAGGAGAGGCATGAAGCCACATGAAAGTTTGGGATCACACACTCAGAGCACCCCAAGCAGTTCTTTGCACGAGAAGGTGAAATTATCAAGTCACATGTATGCATGTTTAAAGAAATAACAAGCTCTAAGATGGGGGACCAAATTGCAAGCAAGACAGCATCTTACATTCACTCACTCCAAAGACTAAATTCTCCCTCTGTGGCTGGAGTGGGGAGGGGACGCATCAGAACATTTATCACCATTCCGCTCATCCTCCCCTTTGTCCCTTGAGTCACAATGCCAAATGCTACAGTTGGCAGAAGGTAGGTACCTGCAGAAAGATGGGGCAGGAGCTAACCAGCAGCAATGCCACAGCCTGTCAGAGGACCAGCACTGAGGGACTTCTGAGATGAACTAGAACATACAAATGTGAGAAAAAGCAGATGTATCTTTACTTGAGTATATACCTCAACACCAGGCAGCTGGGTTTATTAGACAGAGAGCTGCCATCCAGGCAACTCTGACTCATGGTGCCCTTACGTACAACAGAACAATATGTTGCCTGGTCTTGTATCATCCTCACAATGACCAGCACGTTCAAGTCCACCCATCGCTGTGGCTATTGTGCCAATCCATCTGACCGAGGGTGTCTCTCGTCCTTGTCGTCCCTTTACTTCACCAAAAGTGATGTCTTCCTCCAGCGATTGATTTCTCCTGATGACCTGTCCAAAGCAAGATAGTTGGATAATATTGTGTTGTAATTTACAAGGTTTACATTGGCTCATTTTCAGAAGTAGATCACCAGGCCTTTCTTCCTAGTCTGTCTTAGTCTGGAAGCTCTGCTGAAACCTGTCTACCATGAGTGACCTTGCTAGTATTTGAAACACCAAGAGGATTTATCAGGAAACTTCCCCCAAGTCCTTTTTTTCAGTAATTCTCACATGTTAAAGGATTTTGAAAACTCGAATCAGAAATAATGTAACGGAACAAGTCAGCAGATTGAATTTATGGAGTGAAGATCACATTCAGCACAGGAGGTAAACTTCCCAAGAGTAGAGGTACCTGTGTACGCACTGTTGTTGTTGTTAGGTGCCATCGAGTTGGTTCTGATTCATAGTGAGCCTATGTACAACAGAACGGAACACTGCCTGATCCTGCGCCATCCTCACAATTGTTGCTATGTTTGAGCCCATTGTTGCAGCCACTGTGTCAATCCATCTTGTTGACGGTCTTCCTCTTTTTCCCTGACTCTCTACCAAGTGTGATGTTCTTCTCCAGGGACTGATTCCTTCTGACAACATGTCCAAATATGTAAGATGTAGTCTCGGCATCCTTGCTTCTAAGGAGCATTCTGGTTGTACTTCTTCCAAGACAGACTTGTTCATTCTTCTGGCAGTCCATGGTATATTGAATATTCTTCGTCAACACCACAATCCAAAGGTGTCAGTTCTTCTTCGGTCTTCCTGTTCATTGTCCAGCTTTCCCATGCATATGATGTGATTGAAAGTACCATGGCTTGGGTCAGGTGCACCTTAGTTTTCAAGGTGATATCTTTGCTTTTCAACTAAGAGGTCTTTCGCAGCAAATTTGCCCAATGCAATGCGTCTTTTGAGTTCTTAACTGATGCTTCCATGGGTGTTGATTGTGGATCCAAAAATGCTTATTAGGAAATTATAAATCCTCACATCAAAAAGCATTACTGGGACTTTATTTTGGAAATAACATTAACTTGTCACTATTGGAGATACCACCCAAAAAAGTAGAAAATGTGGTTCTTACTTCATGCACAGCCACCATCCGTCTGTCAGTGGAGGCTTACCTGTTGCTGTGATGCTGAACAGATGTCAGTGGAGCTTCCAGACTAAGACAGACTAGGAAGAAAGACCTGGTGATCTATTTTAGAAAATTAGCCAGTGAAAACCCTACGGGTCCCAATGATCGTCTCCCATTGTGCACAAAGTCTCCATGAGTCAGGGGCCATCTCAATGGCAACTAGTCACAACAACAACCATTAAATGGAAGGGTCTGTAAAACATGGTATAATAATAGTATCTACTTTGAAAGGTTGTTGTCAGGAAGAAATGGGTCAATGCATATAAAATATTAAGCATATCGCCCAGCACAGAGTAAGCACTGTGTGTTTGCTATTACTGTTATCATTGTTATTTTTATTGGAGCTTGTCTTAGTCACCTAGTGCTGCTGTAACAGAGATACCACAAGTGGATGGCTTTAACAAAGGTAAGTTTATTCTCTCACAGTCCAGTAGTTTAGAAGTCCAAATTTGGGGTGCCGGCTCCAAGGGAATGTTTTCTCTCTCTGTTGGCTCTGGAGGAAGGTCCTTGTGATGCATCAGTCTTTCTTTGGTCTGGGAGGATCTCAGTGCAGGAACCTCAGGTCTAAAGGATGTGCTCTGCTCCCGACACTGCTTTCTTGGTAGTATGATGTTCCCAGGTGTCTCTGCTCGTTTCTTTCTTTTATATCTCAAAAGAGATTGGATTAAGACACTATCTAATCTTATAGATCTCATCAGTGTAACTGCTGCTAATCCATTTTATTACATCGTAGTGATAGAGTTTACAACACATAAGGAAATCACATCAGATTACAAAATGGTACACAATCATACAATACTGGGAAATCATGACCCAGCCAAGTTGACGGATATTTTGGGGGGACACAATTCAATCCAT